AAACCATGTGATGTTCGATTTGGAATGTGAGGTTTTCTCTCTAAGAATTTGAATATCTTGGCGATGATCCTCGAAGCTGGATTTTTGTGTTTATGCGGAGGCTAAATTTCTTCTAAAAACCCATTTTAAATTAAAACTTTCTTTGACCACCCCAGCATTTTTTTGGGGTTGATAATGAAATTCATTTGTACAGTACTTCAAAAAATGGTAAATTCCAGCAGTGGAAAATTTATTTCCAGATGATGTATGAGAGAAAAATATCGCCCGTGAGAAATGCTCAACGAATTCGCACGTATATTAGTTTCAGCTTTTGCGAAAGTCTATCAAGAATAAGATGAGGCAATTTTTTTTTGGCAGACGCATAATTCGATTCTCTATTCAAAAGGAAAAACTCTCGGGGAACCACTCATATATACAATTTGGTGTAAATAGTTATGAGTTTGAACCCGTTTATTTTTATCAAAGGTTAACCACAATTGCTGGAAATCATCTCCAGACATCACAGAGTTCATGAATTCGAACGGCTTGACGGATTATTCACAACTCGAAGGATACATTATTCAGAGGCACATTTCTCAAATATTGGACCTCGGGGTGTCTCATATTGTTTGGCAAGACCCCCTGGAGAAAGGCATCGAGGTAACGTAAAAAATTTCGGCTATCAACTATTTCACATCGCTGATTTTATAAAGATAGATATTAAGTTTCCCAGTGAGACGATTGTGCAAGTATGGAAGTGGCATTCAACGGACATGGGATGGGCTGATTGGTCCGAATATTTGGCATATGTGACGGGTCTCGGTCACAAGGCGATTTTATCATCCTGTTGGTACCTGAATTTGATTTCTTACGGGGAGGATTGGATCGATTATTATCAATGTGATCCACACAACTTCGAGGGTAAGTGAGATGCAAAGGAAGTTTAAAAAAAACACTTTTAATATTTTTCAAGTGAATGGATATAGGAAGTGAAGAGCAGAAAAGTTTGGTCTTGGGAGGCGAAACGACGTTTTGGGCTGAATACATCGACGAGACGAATTTGCACTCCCGGATCTGGCCTCGGGCGAGTGCAGTTGCGGAGAAACTATGGAGCCAAACAACGGATTCTGTGCCGGATGCCAGACATCGGTTGGATCAGCACCGGTGCAACATGATCAAGTACTCGTATAAATCATTCAAAATCCCAATGTCATTTTCGTATTTCGTGTGCTGACGTGTTATTTTTCCTTTGTTTGTGAATAATTCAGGAGAGGTTTCCAGGCAGCGCCAGTTTTCAACGGCTTTTGCCCAGTTGAGCGGGTTTCGTAGTGGAAGCATGACGGTTCAATTATACTCCTTGTTTCATCTGGATCTTCATCTAGGATTGTCTTTCTGTATACTAAGCCTGTGACAATTTTGCACTCAGTTCATTACTCGAAGCAGGATTTTTAGGCGCAGTACTCGAATATTTCGCAGCTTAAAAAACGCTCTTCATTTTGGGTAAACGGCTCAATAAGTGAATGTCACGATCAATTGATTATAAAAAACATTTCACAAGTGGAACTTCTCCTGACTGATGACTTGAAGGGATATCACCAACATTTCTGGAACTCGAAGTTGATTAGTCTAGGCAATAAAGCATTTTAATGCATAATGGGACGCATGTATAAAAAATAGGAATAAGAATTTAATCGGAATATTTGATCAATCTGACATTTTTTAAATAAGAGGCATTTCAGTCCAATATTTAATCTGATATTTTATTAGCTTTTTTTAATACTTTTGACTTTGTTTCCGATACAATGCGATTTCAATGTAAAATGAATTTCAACTTCGACCAGACGATGAGGAGGCAGCTGCTGATGCAACTGAAGATCAGCCAAAATATTTTTCGTATTCACAATCGAGATTTAGATGCAGTGAAAGTGCACAAATCTTCTGAAACAGTAATTATATCTTATTTTTCTTCATCTGTGAAAATTGTCAAAATAACCGATTTTTCATGACTCTGATGTCATTTTTTCCTGCGATTGTCACTCATGTCATTAAAATTGAATCGCCTGAAAAGTTTAATTTACTGCGTGAACCTTTCAAAAGTTTTTTCGAGCACCTTTATTTCAATGACTGTATTTTCACCGATAATTTCATCAGGAATTTTTTTTATGGATGTTCCGGCCTTCATGGTGGTATTATTTAGGACCGTAATTGTACCGAGTTTTTCGCAATTTTTTTTGGAGATTAGCAAGAACCGTCATCAATCAGGCTACAGTACATGAAAAAATAAAACAATGGTTCCAACTTCGGATGGACATTTTATTTCAATATATTTTCATTTTTTTTCTTTTTGTTCTATGGTTCACAAATACAATGCAAATCAATATGTAGAAGTCAAAATATGTTCAAGTGCTGTACAGCAGCATGATAAAATAGAAGAGTGGCGCGAGATGCTGTGCATACCAGCAAAATGTATGAAAACATAAAAAATGAGTAGCCATAAATAGATGGTAACTCCACACAAAATCTGGAATTCTCCAGACGCGAGGTCACTTCGAAGTCAGAAAATAAATGGGGGCATATAAGGGGTATATTTTTCTGCCAATTTAGAAAATTGATGATGTTGGTATCAATTCCTCTTGGTCGAACAGTCGCTTCCTTCGAACACTTGCCATATCACAGTCGGTTTCGTTGTTTCGAAAAGAGTTTAGACGATAGATGCCTCAGTTAGGCGGGGTTGAAAATCAGTCGAGGAGGAAAATACTTTTTTTGACACATATTGTTGGAATCTTTCTTTTGCTCCGAGATTCCCTATATACGTACCGAGATTCCAGCAAAGGAAACTGAAACGCATCAGTGCTCGATGTCGAAGGCTTCGGTGAAACAAGCGCAGCTGGCTGGAAGCCTGAAGCTCTCGATGGCGAATGGGAAGTAGTGATCGTACGCGTCAAAGACCAGGAACCTGTGGTGCACGTGTTTCTGGACACACTTGGTGTCGTAGCAGTCCGGCACCAGAGGGCACTTCTTGCCAGCAGTTTGGCACGTTTCCAGACGCACGGTTTGCGTGAAATCGTCGTAGTCGACCTTGACGTTGTTGACGATGATGCGCCATTTGCCGTCGGAGTTGATGGAGCGGAGCGGGCGAGCGTAGATGGTTTCGGAGGGGCACAAGTAGGTTTCCTGCACGAGCTCGTTGAGGCGGTCGACGGAGTTCTTGGTGTTGAGGTCAGCGACATCTGCGTACAACTCGAGGAAACCGTACTTGTGCGTCTTGATGGCGTCTTGGATTTCATACCTAATTATTGGCGGATGGGAAAATTCAAGTGGATCAATTTTAAATCCTTGTTCTCCGTTTTAAAAAGCAATCGAAGCGACACATATCTCATGTGTCTTCTTCCTCTGCTTGGTGACAAAAATTCTTGCATAAACGAAAGTATGATATGTCATTAATATAGCATAACAAATTATCCTGAATTGATATTCAGTAATTGCCATTCCTTGAAGCTCAGAAAATTATTTGACTGAAAAGATGAGTGAATTCTTAGAAAATTAGGTGTTTTGATCATAATCTTCAAAAAATACGGAAGCCTTTCTTCCTCTTTTCATCAGCAGTCGAACTTATGGTACGAATAATTGCAGTTTTTCTGTCACATCAACCGCAGTTTCTTCAGTATTTAAAAAAATACTGCATCAAAGAATGTCCGAAGCAGAGCCCACAATTTTGCTTCTGACGACACAGGTGTCGCTTGAATTTCATGACATTTTCGAAAAGCATCAGATAAAGTTCAGGGAATCATCGCAGATAGGCCAAAGCTGTCGAATTACGAAGACGTATGAGAAGATCGAAGTCATGTCTGAAGCTACAATTTTTCAACAACGGCGAAGAAGGGATTGTCTTTTCTTAAAACTAAATCTCGAAAAATTGACGTCCGAACTGAATCATAAAAGATACAAAACCAAAACATCAATGAAAACTTTGCATGCGACTTAGATACGACTTAGTTACTAGACTCGATGGAGTCATGCGAATGAATACTGTATTTGGATTTTGCTCGAGCGTCCAAACTTGTAAGAAGATTTAAACAAATCGGAGCAAGTTTCGTTACGTATGGATCGCACGAAAAAGTTTTCGGATATGAAGATACTGCGCCTGGAAGTTCATATTGAAACTTTCTGATGCTATCGATGGGAACATTAAAAACGTACGGAATTCCAGGTATTCCCGGAGATTATACGCAGAGTCCCTTGGTCATAAATACGGTATGGACTTTGAAATATTTCTCAGAATTCCTCTGATTCTTGAAGCGATCAGCGATCGAAGAAACATCGTTGAAGAATCTTTTAAAACATTTAAAAACTTTTTTGGAAGATCAATACTCCGCTTCAGTAGCGATACGTCGTCGCATTTGGTATTCTATAACAATTGAAGAACCGAAACTCCGAAAGTACTTTTTGTCCGATAAGAAAAATTTAAATTCGCAATGAAAGAATTTTCCTTCGAGACACAGAAAAGAATGATAATAACTTCTAATACTTTCAAGATCTACAATGCTAACTGAAATTAACTGATTCGATCACACTTTGAGTGTCATCAACTATTTTCACATGACAAACCTATTTTTCGCTCGTCATCGCAAGTATTTAGTGCTATCGTAATAAGCACTTTTTATACACAATTTCATAAACGTATCGGTTCGTTGATAAGTCACGATAAAGTGAATTATAAAACACGAATAATACAGCTAGGAATCTTTCGATTGAATTTCAGAAATAGTTTTTTTCTTTCAGTTTTTAGACCTTCACGTAGAAATCGTGTCTTCTGACAGTGACTCCAAGACGCGTCACAGGCAAGACCCGATGAAATTGATTTGAATTTACGAAAAATCCTCCAAGCATCTTTAAATACCGTACCAATTTTTCCCCGAAAAATAATTAGCGTCTGATATATACAGTACAATCGAGTGAATTCGGTATCTCGGGTCGTTCGTTCGGTTCGTTTCCCCGCGAACATCCTCGATCATCGCACGCACTAACGACCGTAACGATGATACATTTCCCGATCGAGAACAAAAGGTAAAATTTCTGATGATTCGCCTCTTTCTCGGTTCGTTAGCTATAAGCCATATATTCTGCTACACACAGTCGCTGATTCACCCAGCCGGAAACTCACAAGGGATACTCGGCATCGCTGAGACAATAGGGCCCAGTCGAGTTCTTGGAGCACTCTGGGATCTCCTTGTACGGCTTGGCTTTGTATGCATGAGGCTGCTCGTAACTGCCGTACGCCGGTGGCTGGTGGTACGCTGGCGTATACGCCTGCGGCTGGTGGTACGCTGGGGTCTCGTAGGTCCTGCCGTACGGCGGTCGGTGGTGGTCAGCGACAGCCATGGCAATTATCGCGGCAGCAATGATCTGAAAAACGCACCAAAACATAAAAAATCTTGTAATATATCGCAGGTGTTGTATAAATAGGATTGGTACAGTTGAACCTCTGAAAGTCGAATTTCTATATAGGGACGTGGAAAAACATAAGACTTAGGGAGGTTTTGATTTTCAGAGTTTTCCTGTTGAGGAAACAATCACTTTTGTTGCGAGGAGAAGTGAAAAAAGTATGGGAAATCATAAACGAGGATATTCTGGGCCTAAACTTTCTCTTTATAGTGAGCTTACACCTTGCTGAACTTGGAGGCAGGGGTTCATTTGCTATATTTGTCTACCACTTCCTTTAAAAAGATCCACCAAATTATTTGTTTTCATCATTTTATCTTCTCATGTTTCAAAGAAATAATAACCAGAAGTCCTCAGAAAATTTGACTTACAGAGGTTTAAGAGAGAAAGACTTTGAGTTATTGAGGTTTTTAATGCATTGATTCTGAAGGGAATTCAGACAGGGACTTAAAAAATCGTCTTATAGGGAGGAATACGACTTAGGGAGATTTTAATTATCGAGTTTCACCTGTATAAATAAAGAAACAGGACCAAAAAAAAGGACCGAGAGATGAGAGAGATATTCAAATTCACAGCGGCATTCGATCGCGTTTTCCATGCTTCGTTAGTTATTTTTCAGCTTAAAAAGCTACAAACATTGTTCCATAGAAGACGACGAATCGCGGCACTGAAAATCATTTGCATACTCTCGGGACTCAGAGAACCTGTCTCATGAGCCAAAATTTTTGTACATAAAAAATATGCAGGGCACGAGGAAAGAACTCGAAAATTTCTAGTGCAAAAGTACGACGAAATTTGCGGGAAAAACTAGAAAATACTCCCACATTCGATCCCCACGAAGTTCTTCATCATAACGTGTCTTATTGAAATGAAATACTGTATTATGATTTTATGGATGGTTGGTTCAAATTTCAAAATAAATGTATCATGTTTTAAGGTTATTTTTCGCATGAAAGTCGGGTTTATGATTTTGATTTCCACGCTCATCCTTCAAAACTAAAACAAATTCACTATTTGAATAATAATTCTATGTTTTAAGGCGGAGAAACGATCCGAAGATCTGATATTGCAAGAAAGCCTCCTGGGGCAAGGACATTTATTTTTTCGTGAGAATATTCATGCAAAAAATATAATTTCGGATAGAGTGCATGTTTACTGCAACGGTTGAACACTGCATATTCACCGGCGAAAATGACTTCATGAATTTTAATGCAGCAGAAAGCACAGAGCCCCAATTAGAATGAAGAAGCAAAATTTTCAGAAAAATCTCGACGTCACAAAGATGAGCATTTCTCTTTATTCGACGTCAATAACGAAGTGGATTAGAGTCCGAATGGGTTTGTTTGCTTTCGGCTAAAAAAATTTTTAATCTTGAATGTTATTCTCGACTTTTCGATTGATGCGCATCAAAAAGCACAGAGCCTTAGAACAACGAGAGAAATACTCGAAGTGACCCAAAATGATGAGCATTTCTTTTCGAGGTCAACATCAGAGTGACATTGAATAACCCTTATCGGTTTGTTTGCGTTCCGTACAAAATGATTTCGTCGCAAATGTTATTCTCGACTTTTTGACATGATGATAACAATTGAATTGTGAGAGCGACGCACTCGGGGAAAATTGGATAAAGCAACATGTCTGCCAAATTTCGCTGAAAGCATCTGACGTTTCTGGAACACTGCTGGGTATTATGCGCCTGTTCTCAACCCGCTGGCTCTGGGAAACACATACGTACATATACAACCTCTCCGCGTTGGGTTGAGAATGCAAAAAGAAAACATTGCCTTGAGCAAGAATTTCTCTCTCGCTTCCTTCCTAAGGAAAAGTAAAATTCTGTCTTATTTTCATTCCGTCTGCATATGTGGATGAGAAAAGGAAAAGCTTCCTCAGCTGCTTTGCTGAATGCTGTGCACTTGCTGGTAATGCTATGCGTTGGGTTTACATCGGGGGAAAATCAAATTGCGTAGAAGCGTATCTGTTTTCGGGTGACTGCATGACTGCGCCCGACTTTTTGTCGCTATGCTATAAAGAAAAAAAAAGAAGCAATAACGACGATCTCGTCTGAAGAAACATTGTGGGCTTTTCTCTTATCCCGGTCTGCGTGAATTTTCCCGACAATCATTCACGTCTTGAGGAAATATGGCCCGAGGTCAAGTGTGATCCTGGGTCTATTCATAACCTTGGCCCATATGCATATACGAGTCATCCTAAACTTGTCATCATTTGCGAGGGACAAGAACTCAAAAATTGGTTTTTCTTTGTCATGAAAAAATGCGCTTCTTCCTGTTATTCTCCGTGAACATATTTTGGAGGAAAATATTCATTGCATTTAAAAATGGATGTTTCTATGTTTCGATGAATTGTGGAAGACAGTATAATTTTCTTAAGACTCAAAAGGTTAAAAAGAATTTCCGGCTTCCCGGATGAGTTCTGAGTTTATTTTTCTTCAAGAGGACAATTTTGTGAATCTATCTGAATGCAAGATATTTTTTCCAGATCAAATCTCCCCAACTTTTTTGAGTCTGCGGACCAGCATATATTTTTTGAACTAGCAATTGAAAAAAAAATTCTGCAGACCTGCAAAGTTTTTCCATAAAATTTTTGCAGACTCAAAACATTTTTGTATGAAATACGATGGTAGGTCTTCAAAATTTTGCTGCATTTTAGCTAATATTAAGGTACGAATCAATGAAGCAGCTGTTGTCTTCAAAAATGTTCAAAGGTGGACTTGAAGAGAGGTTTCTCGGAATTGGAAATTAAAATGATTTATCTCAGCAGGTGGAAATTCGTCTGGAGCTTTATTTGGATAAAAGCAAACTATTTTCTTAATCGGATAATTTCGGCTGCCATTAGGTACATTTATTATACCAAAACAAGTTTCCTTCAGACCTGCAAAAAACTTCTGCGGATCTCCGCCAGTCTATGGATCGTAGGTTGAGGAACACTGGTTTAAATAATTTTAGGCATCTTCCTTTATGCGAAAAAGTGAGAATTATTCTACTAGAAATTTATTCATCGAGTCGAAATATTCATGCGTCCAATTGATTGATGATGGTATTACCCTTCATTATCAATTTATGGGCAGGAGAAAGAGTGAAACATAAAAAGGATGAATTACGATGTCCATAATCATCTGCTTAGCTAGATAATGTAATTTAGCTGAGCAGATGATTTCAGAGTATCTAAAAATTCGGGAAGTTTTTTTTTTCGGAACCCTCGAAATTTCGCGTCTTTTGCACACTTCACAGTTTCCAAGTCTCAAGACAAGCGTCACTCCAAGTGAGACAAGTCATCTCTGCTGCACTTGAGCCTCTTCATTGCGAATGACGGCTTAAATCAGATCTGAAGGCTATTTTTATCACTTGAAAGTCTACCTCGAATCACGGTTGTCAGAGGCAGAGAGAAAAAAAAGAAGATATAGGGCAGATCGAGAAAAAAGAGAAGAATAGCTCTTGGAAACTCTTTTTGCCGACTTCGATCCCGAAGGAAACTACAATTGCATCATCTCACCACTTCCAAGCAGTCTCAGAGCCTCTTCATTCCCCCTTTCTAGAAGAAACTTATTGCATCCAGAGACGCCCACCAGGAAAAAAAAATTCCCCTATAGATATATGGTATAAGAGAAAAAAAAGAGAGCAAAAATCTCTGAGTTCGCTTCGGCTTAGGAGTGTATATACACATACAATGCAACACAAGAACCTCTCGCTGCCTTTGCTTGTACATACAGGCTTAGGTAATAAACCTCAAAAGGGACTCCAGGGATGTTCTCCAGCAGCCAAGTAATGAGAAAAAGGTCACAGCTTCCAACTTACGTGCGTTCAGAAACTCGAAATACTGTACACATTTCTTACTGTACTTACTGTACACATTTATGCACATTTCTTTGCGTTTCGAGCACCATGATGAGATTTACCCCCGAAAATTTTCAACATACAACTTTCATGCTTGTTCAACACGAAAACAATAATTTATAATCTTTCCGAATAAAAATCAGCTGATTTTAGAAAAGGAATTCCAGAACATGCCTAAAATATTCCACAAAGCTTTTGACTAAAAAAGTTTAATTAATGTTGGACTCCAAATTTAAATGCACGATATTTTGATGCATGCGCCAAAAAGAATAAAATTTTTCTTTCGAATTTTTATACTTGCAATTTCGATTCGTTATGCGCAAAAATAAAAAATCCAGATCTCTCAACAGTCGAGATTTCTAAAAAAAAAGAAGGGAAATACGTTAAATCTGGCAAGTGGACTCACGATTTTTTCTGTACAGTATTGTATATCGAATTTTGTTTGGTCCCATAGTGTTCTCTCTTTCTCAAGGGTTCTGTAAAAAAAAGAAATTCTCTCTACAACAAATGTTTTTCTGGTGCCATGAATTTCGTTGCCGAGATAGTCCACCTGTATATGCATTCAGATCAAAAAAGCATGTTTGAACCTTGCTCGATTCGTTTCTCGCAAAAAAAAAAACTTTCCATTTTTTGCATAAAATTTTCATCACTTGATGAAAAAATGGATCGTTATATATTGATCAAAACGAAAAGAGAAACAATTCAACTTCCTCCATCCAAGCACATAGGTTAGCTTTGATTAAAATCTGGGTCTATAATGACATGTTTCCAAAAGAGAAACCCCGTACTTCCGATCGTATCGCCCGGAATTGAAGCTGCGCAAACATCATCATTCAAAAATATTTAATATCGGAGCTCTCCCGACTGAAAAGCCTGGAACACACAACATCGTCTCTCTCCTTCATTCGGAAACCTCTTTCGACCCGAGATGACACAAAAGTAAAAAAAAATAAATAAAGAGAAAATAAAACGGGGAATCGATGAGCTGTGCCTGAGTAAACTCTCAAACCCCCTCTAAGATTCACATCCTTGCTCGCCAAGAATTTCTTCCCTTTCGTTTCCGGCTTTTTCACATCGCGTGAAATGGGATTCTGTTTGCGTGTTTCAGCCCCGACGACGACCGGGACCCCGTTCGACAGATCCCGGGCACGAAATGAGAAAAAAGAAGTCTTGTCTGGGCCCGAGAAGCAGCTCGGGACGACGTACGATATCCCACTCGTAGTGACCCTCGGGGTTGACGGGATCTCCCATTGATACCCACATATACCAAGGCACAAAAAAAAAAAAAAAAAAGAACAAGAAAGGGCAGAAAAGAGCCAGAATAA